AAACCCTAGACCGTTGCTCAAGGTTTTTGTGTATGCTCCCATAGTCCTGATGCTCCGACTCATGCTCGTGCGCATGCTCCTGCTCATGCTCCTTGTCGCCGTCCTGGCTGGCAATGGTCGCATTTCCCGACTGGGCCGGGTCGTGTTGGTTGTTGAACCAAATAAGACTATCTTTCGCTCATAAGATAGTGTACCCAAAAGGGGGATGTATAGTTATGCAACTGTATACTGGGGACCATGCTGCTGCCCCAGCCTAAACTTCAACTCAACGGACAAATCGACGATTTCTCTGGCTGCTTTCTGGATGACGGTGCAGCATCAAATAAAACGCACTCCTACCGAAGGTAACTTTAAGCATTCAATATGTAGACCCTAAACCCTAAACCCGAAGTCCTGAACCCTAAGCCCTTTTAAAGGGGTAACGAGCAACCTGCTACATGCCGCAGATATGCTCAGCCGCAGCAGCGCCCAGGATGATGGTTTGCTGTGGAAACCAAACCTGGCCCAAAATGATCTGCGAGTCCTTGGCCACGGCTTCCTTAGTCAAGTTACGTTCGAAGAAACCCAACAAGTGCCAAAATACGGCGCAGCAACGCCTTCACAACTAGCTTTCGCCTAGGAACGCACAGATTTTTTGCAGCTTTCTTTCCTCGGGGAGCTCCAGGTCTGTGAAATAGTCCCCGACCATCTCAAGCGCCTTCACTAAGCGGACTTTTGGATTGGGACCAGGCGCCACAGCGATGCCCAGGCAGAACCTAAGGGCCTGGCTGCAAGGTTGCGCGACAAGTCGCCCTCGAAGCGGCCGGGAACCTTTTTCTTGGCCTTCCCATCATCGAAATCATCATCGTCATCATTAAGCGGCAGAACTACATACCTACATGCACGTGGACAGAAAGCCATGGACCAAAGCGCAGGCCTCCTTTTTACAATGCTTCAGGAACGCATCGGGGTGGAATTTCTTGGGGCAGTCCATTGCCTGAGCATAATAACACGTCATCAGTGCCACGCAATGGGTGGGCTCTGAGTTCTTAACTTAACCGCCTCCCCCAAAACAACACAGCTAAGGCCAGAACGGGGCTTCCAAATGATAATACACCAAGCTTCGGAAAGCGGATTCCGAATAATGCTTCGAATTTGCTTCGGCCAAGGGCTTCCGAATCGAAAGTGGACTCCTACCGGTGGTGAAACAAGCTTAGGACGGGTGCCTCCCGACTCCTGATGACGCTGTGGCTCCGGAAAAGGGCTTCCGAACGATAACATGCCAAGCTTCGGCAAGCGGCTTCAGAATGACACTGCAACAAGCTTCGGACTGCGGCTTCCGAACGCTCAGGCGGAAAGCTTCGGAGAGAGGGTTCGAATGACACAAGCCCCGATGGAGCTTCCAGATGAGACCGTCACAAGGTTTGGAAAGGGGATGCGGCTTCCACATGACGATAAAGCAAATTTCGGCAAAAGGCTTCCGAACGATATTGCAAAAGGGTTCGGAATGGTAGCTTCGCAGAGCGACTTCCAGATGGTAGTGAAACAAGCTTCAGAGAGGCACTTGCAAATAAAACGGTAACAAACTTCGAAACTGGGCTCCCGAATTATAATACGACAAGCTTCAGTAGAGAGCTTTCGAACGACTTCGGACGGAGGCCTCCGAAGCAAAGTGCAAAAGCTTCAAAGAACGGCTTCTGAATCATAATGAGAGGCGCCTCCCATGCAATGACATTGTGACAAGCTTCGGAGCGGGGTTTCCGAACGCAAGCACACCAAGCTTCGGAGAGCAGTCTCCAGCAAAAAACGCAGGATAAAATTTCTTGATGGGAATCTTCGGCCCTGTCATTTTCTGCAAGCCACCGGCTGGGAGAACATTGAGTGAGGTAGACTCTATTCTGCGGCCTCTACCTAGAAAACCCTCAGGCTATAATTTCCGCCGGAGGGCCAAGTGGCTGGATTTTCCGCCGAAGATAAGTAAAAACGGCGCAGGCCTAAAAAAACGCCGAAGCCTTTTCAGGGTAATTTCCGGCTTCATGACAATAATGGGAAGGAAGACCATGGAAATACTCACCATCCAGCGTATCTTGATGTCCAGTTGTGTATTGCAGTGTGCCACTTCAGCTACAAGACCAACCCTCGCCTAGCCCCTTATATAACGCTTTGTGTGAGTACCTTAGCTCCACATACCCAAGAACCATAGACATCAATAAGCGAGATAAGCACAACAGCTGAAGCCAACTCATGGTCCATTTAAGGGTTGTGTATAAATAGTGGCAGACTTTTGGAGTAAGGGGCCCAAGCAGCGGACATTAGTCCAAGCAAGAAACTTTAACTCCATCATAGACCCTGTATCAACAAACCCTATATATAGTTATATGTTCGCTGGATGAGGAGAATTCCACTTTCAATGCCTGGGATTTCAGGGCTGGCTAATGGGGGGTATAGCAGGTATTGCTTTGGGATACGTATATGGGCAGATTAGCAAAGGAACTTGCACTTCTTTCATCATCTCAGCATCAGTTCTCAAAGATGCTGCCAGCTGTAGTCCCAGTCCATGCTCCAGGGTCTCGCTTGACCAGAGGTTGGATCGAAGGCTCATGACAGCGAAAAGTTGCTTACAAAACCGATTTTCAGGGCAGGTACGGGTAAAAACGCCGAAATGTTGGGTACAAACGCCGAAGCTTTGGGTAAAAGCGCCGGCGCCGTAAGTTGTTTTCAGGGCAGAAAGGCCGAGTATGAGGCATTTTCGAAATTTCGGTGCAGTTTTCAGGGCATTTTGCGGGACAGTTTGCCGGGCAATTTTCAGGGCTATTTTCAAGGCAGTGAATTTGTCAGGGCAGTTTTCCTTGATCATTGGACTTTTCGGGATTAGTTCTGGGCACAGACGGCTGATGGCTGATGATGCAATTGCTTCTTGGGAGTTGTCACGCGTGCGGCATTCCCGCACAACCAGTTAAACCTACAAGCCTTCAGGGTTAGATTCAAGCTGCTGTTGTTACTGCACGCAATGCCTTCCTCTAGCTGGATGCGGTATGCTAATGCTAATAGCCTTCACGGCGGAACTCCTCAAAAGTTGCCATATGGAGTTTCTTCAGCATCCCAGTAGACATTGCTGGAGGTTCTAGAGGGCTCTTAACAAGAATTGATCCAAGAAAAGACTGCGACTGGATCGCGTCTCAGTGCACACAGTTGTGTGGCGACGGTAAAGCAGCAGCATGGAATGTAGAGTTCGCAATGGGTGGGCACACCTCATAGTAGCCCTCCAGAGGGCCCAAAAGGATTTTGATTTGAGCTCAGACAGGCTATCGAATGGGGCTGACCATGACTAACAAGCAAGTTGCTTCTGAACCCTGAAACCCTGAAAAACGCCTGCAGGCGTTATTTCCGCCGTAGATCTAGCTCAGGCGCCTTTTCCAGACAAAGGCAGAAAGCAAAGCCGTAAAGGTTTACCAGGTATATAAGAATCGCATCAACAACACTGCAAACGCAAGCACTTTGGTGCGATTTTTGATGCTGTTGGGGATGACGTCGGCACCTACAGACTATTCCATGCGTTTATGTGGGCATTCGCACCACAATCTCTGCACAATCTCTGAGGTCCCTACACTTTCTTGTGAGGACTTCAAGCGGGGTCTCCTCTCGGTCCTCAAAAACGTGCAACTACAACTCAAGCAACACCGATCCCTGCCGCGTGTGAACGCTGATTAACCCCGCATTGCACACAACTACTTCAGCCAAGGATCATCCTCAGCAACCGCCAGCTTCACGTGCTGGCACGGCACCCGTGGGAGTGGGCTGGAGAGCTCCGCGTCAGCGCCGAAGCGCAAGACACTGCGGAGCTCCTCCTTCGTTTGCATCCGGCAGTTGTGCAGCATCGCCTGGAGCTTATTCTCCAGCTCTTGTCCTTGACGGCAGAGCAGCACATGCAATTGAACCAGCAAACCAAGATCTGCGACACACCACCACCAACCTCTGTTCTAGACAATGTAAGCAGCGGGCGCTTCTTCTTCTTGTTGACGCAGACCAAGCGCAGCCGCAGTGTGGACGTCAGGCATGAGGTCAAGCCTGCCAACGCCAAGGCTAGATTCTAGACTGCTAGGCCAACAAATACGCGCAGCTCCCAAACCAGAGGGATTACTAGATTACCCATCGGGTCAATCCCCCACCCAGTATTGGGTACCATAAGGGACTATTTTAGGTACTTGGAGGGTCAGGGGGACATAGTAAGCCGGTTAATAACCACTATAAACCGTAGAATAACCCTAAGTTATCAGAGTTACTAACCTACTTACTAAGGCCGCCTGACCCTCCAAGTATATTAAAGCCTCATGAAGTCCATATTAAGGAGCCATTGCCATAGGGGAGGGTTGACCTAAACTACCCTAAACCCTAAACCCTAAACCCCAAAACCTCTAAACCTCTAAACCCTAAACCCCAAGCCTCCAAACCCCTAGACCCCTAAACCCTAAACCCTAAACCCCTCAACCCTAAACTACCCAGTCATAATGAAGTGAAGGACCAGATCCAGAGTTCAGGACCTTATCCTTACTGGGGGTTCGAAGGGAATGAGGGAATCTTCTCTGTAGGGATTATATAGGGAGTATAGGGTATAGGGTTTAGGGATAGGGTTCAGGGTTTAGGGATTATAGACGGAGTATGTTCCCTTATTCTCTACTCACCTCCAGAGAGCGGTATCTGCAAGATGACCTAACTCCAAAACTGTCCATGGCATAGACGGAGTACCAGAACGTCCTAGTGAAAAAGCCACACATGGTTAAGGTGCAGGCTTAGGGACCATACAAACCCTAAACCCTAAACTCCCAACGCCCCCCCCCCCCCTAAGCCCAAAACCCTAAACCTCCCGCACCCCAAAACCCCTCTAAACACTAAACCCCCTTAAACCCACCTAAATACTCTAAATTCCCGCTACACCCTAAACCTTAACGCCCCTAGGCCGTAAACGGCCTATAGATCCCAAACCTTTGGTGCCGGGCCCCTTCTTCCCCTAGCCCATTCTCCTTGTGCGTGTCCGGGTGGGTGTCTCCTGAAGCCCAGCTTCCGTTTCAGGGTGTAGGGTTTAGGGTTTAGGGTTTAGGTTCCTTCCTCTTTTCCATTTGATTCTCCGTTGTTGGGGGTCATACCCTAAACCCGGAACCCTAATATTGGTAGATATTTGTAGGTTGCAGTTCGGTTGGGGCGTCTGGGGGAGAGGTATGAGCCCTTGATATGGGTCCTGAGCTTTGGTTGAAGGGATTAAAAAGGCGCTTGAGGGTAGGCGGGATATGGATATATACTAAGAATGGGGGAAGGAGGGAGGGAGAAGAAGACCTACTTTGGTATATCCACGGCTACAAACGCCACACGTCGAGCTTGTAGCTGGTTCCGTTTGAAAAAATTGCGACGTCATGCCGGGACATTGAGGCCTCAAGCCCTGAAGTTTTTTTCTTTAGCGTTGAGGGTTTAGGGGTTTAGGGTATAGGGGTGGAGGGTTTAGAAAAATAGTCCGGATTCATGAGGCACTCAGGGTGGTCTAGCAGTAGGGGGGCTGGCAAGGGAATCCATGATAACCCCCAGACCTCTCACAATTCTGGCCTTCTTACCAACATCCTGCAAAGAGTTCAACCCCTTCGACCTGCATTTTTAAGCATTGCGCCCCCACTAAGCAACCCTCAACCCCAGTGAGTACACCATAAGCCTTTACCGAACAGCAAAAGTATGTAAACAAAATCTTTTTGGCCTGTTTTTAGGGGTTTTGGGCCACTATGTTACCTATTGTGGGGGCCCAGGTAGAACCAAAACATCAACTGCCATCCACCATCCCACCCTGAAGGACCAATACTACAAAAGCAACCCAATTTAGGGTTTAGGGGTTTAGGAGCTGCAGTAGGCTAAGCTGGGGCCAGCTAGGGACTTTCCCTGAACCTGCAGTCTACATCCTGAACCACGTTGCGCTGGAAGGCCCCTCAAAATTGCTGACGCATGAGACTCATGAGACACCTAATGAAGAACGACGGACACTCGCAAAGTTTCATTGCGAAGTACTACCTGTAGACCCAAACCCTAAACCCTAAACCCTAAACCCTAGACCCTAAACCCTAAACCCTAGACCCTAAACCCTAAAAACTAAACCCCAAACCCTAGACCCAAACCCTAAACCCTAAACCCTAAGCCCTAAACCCTACATCCCAGAAAAGTCAGCAACCGGTGCCTCCACCCGGTTCGCCGTGCCCATCTCCATGCTCTTCCTGCGCATCCCAGAGCATGCCGGGGGGGTGTCTCAAAATCGAGGCCCCTTCAGTAGGGTTTAGGGTTTAGGGTTTAGGCTTTAGGGTTTAGATGACAAAATGATGTTGTGGGGTCCTATCAAAGGTCACATAAGAACGGTTTTGAGACACTCCGACGTTTCAAGGTGACATGGAGGTGCAGGTGTAGCACCAATTACCTTAAGTGTAGTAGCGTAACCCCTCTACTGAATAGATACAAATACACAAGCTGTAGGCAATTGGGAGTACAGGGCAGGACGTGGACTGCAGCGGAAATAGTATATGCTGCCTGACTGCAAAGCCAACAATCTCTTGATAGCTTGAAAATCTAGGCCCTAAATCCGAGGCTCTCTGCCGCAAGATCATATCAAACCCTAGAACATCGAAACCCTGAGTACTAAACCCTACACCTCAACCTTCAAACCTAAACTGCCTGAACCCTAGTCCTCTGCACTATCAAGGGCGGCACTGCTGGATGTAACCTTGCACGGAAGAGGCTTATTTATAGGGTTCGGGGCTTAGGGTTTAAACGCTGAAGATTCGACTGAAGCTTGGGGTTCAGGGTGGGGGATTTCTGACTAAGGTTAAGGGTTGAGGACGTAGGGTTTACCTGGACCTCCCAAAAGTAGGCAGAGTAATGCCCACAAGCTTTAAAACGGCAACACGTAGGGCATTGTTCTACACAGTCTTGGGGTTCGAATAAACCCTACACCCTAAATCCTAAACCCTAAATGCTAGCCCCTATAAATCCTAAACCCTAAACCCACGTTCCGGTAGGGCTTTGGGTTCAGAGGGCTTTACCTGAATTTCTTGAACTCCGACAGGGGAATCCAAAGCCTCCACAAACCAACGGGAAAGTCTGAGCCCCTTCAAAGATTCAAAGGGTTCAAGGATTCATGGATGAGGGTTTAGGGTTCAAGGATTCTGGGATTAGGGTTTAGGGTTAAGGGTTCAAGGATTCAGGGATCAGGGATTATATGGGGGAAGACATAGGGATTGTATAGGGTTTAGGGATACTACGCCCAATAATGGAAACTCAGTGGGACAAAAACATGGGAATTAAAATGGAAACTGTGCTGATATGGGGATTTAGGGTTCACGGGCTAGGTAATCCTATTACGAAACATGGGTGTTGTTCACAGTAGCAACTGTCAGCCCTAGACCCTAAACCCTACTAGGCCCGCCTCATCTGTGATGATGGCGCCACTGTGGTCAAACGCCCCGCGCTCGGCGCTTAGTCTCAAGATGCCTGGCGCTTAAAGATGGTTTAGGGGGATGGCTTGCACGGGTTTCGGAGTGAAGCGTTTAGGGTTCACTTAAGATGTAAGTAGAAGGATTGAGGATGACTTGAAGGACTTGTTTCAGTGCGTAGTCGCCCTTAAGTAGATACAATATGGGGTAGAAGCCGATCTTATTAGAATATACCCTAAGCCAAATTCTATCTACTTAAGGGGGACTATGCATGCGGGATATGATGCCCATCGTTGGGGGCCCCCTTAGGGGTTCTATCGGACCGTAACCGATGCATGACAACATGTACTGCTTCAACACAACACCCCAAAGCACACAAAAAAGACTCTGCCCTATCCTCCCCATACAGAAACGACAGCTCGTGTATTGGACGCATGGTTTGGGGCATGGCTTAGTTGAAGAGTTTTTCAGGTGGGGAGTTGCCAGCGGGGGTATTCTTCTACAAGGCTCACCTGTGAATGTGGGGAATGAAATGTATGCACGGCTAAGTTAAGCTGATATATGGTAGTTTCCCTAAATTAGGGAACCCCAACATAGACCCCAAAAGACTATAATCCTTATTATTGGGACCCCCAAAATGGTACCCCTAATTTTGGGAAACCCCCCTATAGGCGAAGCTATGCATCTGCAAACTCCTTCGCTAGGGTGTGAACTTGACGGAGTCTGCCCCAGCAATTACAAGGAGGCTGGGCTCCTGCATGAATCTAACAAAGGAAAGCGTGGAAGCACGCCAACAGAAATGGAGGCCCCACAGAGACCTTATCTCATGCAATGCTTCTGTGAATGAATGCACCATCCGGTATACCCTTCAACATGGAAATTGCACTGCTGCAGGGGGCCCTGAGTGGTGCAAGATTTCTTCCATCCACCGTAGCCAGACCATCAGGATTCGATTGCTCGAACATCATGGATACGTCCAAAAATCCTACCTCATTTTCGCAAAATGCTTGCTGTAGAAAGTTGTTAAAGGGATCCGCTCGAACCCCACTTAACCTCCAGCAGAAGAAGCTTAGGAATCTCAATCGCAAGTGAACATACAAGGAGGGCCCCTCCCAGTGATCAGTTGGGGCGCCGTAAGTGGATTCCAGTAGGGATAATCAGGGCCGAAACGCCTTCAGGGGTTTGTCGGTATGACTATGTAACTAAGGTGCCGCACCTTGTTGTTTCCACGCTCGAATTGCGACTGCCCGTTATAATATGCTCAGCCAATTCTTCGAATCTCCACGTCGTTTACATGCTGAAAACATAGGCTTCTAGTTGTGCCCATCAAGGTCCCTCCCCCCAGACGCTTTCCCTTGGCCCCAAACGCTGTCAGACTCTGAACCCTAAACCCTATCCGCCCTATCCAAGTTGTTGCCTTCCCCAGGCCAAAGAAAAACAACAACTACACATTCTTCTTATAGTATGGCTGTAGGAACCTGCAACTGTAAAGTGTCAATTCCCAAATATTGAGCTTTGTTCCTATTGAGCGTCTGTTAGGAACCCGAGTGCATATGTCTATGGCATTGGACCTCCTCTCAAATGTAAGAAACCAGACCAGAATCGTGGGTTTAAGGTGTTGGGTTTAGGGTTTCGGAAATGCTTGGGTTTAAATCCTTCCTGATCCCCTTAGGTCCCCACATGGCCCTACGAGACCCCTTACCCCAAAAGCCCTGAACCCAAGCAGCATCAACTCTAGACCTGCAAGTGCTTGGGCTGAGGTCCTTCCTAATCCCCCTTCGCCCTAAACCCGTGACCCCTAAACCCTAAACCCCAACTCCCCCTAAAGTCCCAGGCCTGCAAGTGCAAGTGCGAATCTTAACGGCAGTGCCACCTCGGAAAAGGCTGCGTAAAGCACGGATTTTTAACAGGATTAGGGTTTAGGGTTTAGGGTTTGGGGCTTAGGGTTTAGGCCGAAGCAACTAGCATTCTATGCTTTTTTGAGGGATACTATGGGTATACACATTTTCAGCCATCTACATTATGTTACCTCCCAGTGGTGAACATGGGCATTTGTTGGGAGCCGCTTCTTGGATGATTGGAGCCAGCTCTAAGGTTGAAATACGGGCCCCTAAGATGTGCCCTTGGGCCTTTTTGGTGGATTTTAGGGCTAAGGGCCAATATGGTATATGGATCCCAGCGCTAAGGGGCCGTATTTAGGGGCCCATGGTCTAAACAATAGATACGTGGCACAAAAAATGCCTACGCCGACCCTACCTTGCTGCACCTCGGTGCTGGAGGGGGAGCCGGGGACTGAATATAGGGATGATTTGAGGGGTAGTGATGGGGATTATATAGGGATTGTTGTAGGCCCTACATTGTAGGGATCCACTCCCCCACTCTCCCTCAAGCACCACTTAACTTGAACCCCAAAACTCTCGTTTGCAAGTTGCAAGTCATCAATTCCTAGTATCCCCCTTAAAAACTTGTATAGTACTCCGAGTACTCCCCTATGTATTCCCCTATAACTTCTTTAATCATTTTAGACTCTAGCTCATGTGTTCCGTTCCGGAGCTGTCTTCCTAGATTCAATCCTGGGCTGCTCCCTAAGCCCTAAACCTTAAACCCTGAACCTGACCCTAGACACTTAACCCTAAACCCTCAACCCTAAACCCTAGCCCTCACCCTGAACCCCAAACCTAAACTGTTAGGCATGCCACAAGTCTGAGTCAAAAGCATGGCCCATTTTCTGAAGGTCTGGAGGTGCCCGTAAAGCTGAAGTACGTTCGATGTTGCCAAATCCGAAGGCGAACTACCTGGACCCAAAAAGTATGTAAAAGAGTTGCCTTTATGGCTGTTATTATGGGTTTACGGCTACTATTTACATACGTTTGAGGTTGAGCTAATCCCTAAGGGTCCAAGGACCCAAATAATTAGGTTTCAGGGCCCAAATACCGCTACTATACTAGTATTTGGGCCCCTAAAACCCTATTGTTTGGGTCCTTGGACCCTTAGCTAATACTAACATCCTACACCAAAAGAAAGCTCCTGAGGCCCGCCATTTCAATCCAAGAAGTTCCTTTTAGACAAGACATATAGGTACCTGGACCCCAAAAGTATGTAAAATAATGGTCCCAATAGTGGCCTTTGTGGCCATTATTAGGAGTTTAGGGCTATTGTTTCACATACTTTTGGGGTTTAGGTAGTTCCTATAAATAGGGCCACCCCGACATATTATAAGGACCCCCAAAAAAAGGTACCCTAAATGGTAATTTCCCTAAATAGGGGGACCCCATTATCGACCCGAAAATACTACAGCTTTTATATATAGGGGCCCCCAAAAAGGTACCCGTAATTTCAGAACTATTCTTGCGCCAAGTGGCAAGCATTACCAAAGCATGGACCTGTCAAGTGCGATGCGCTGCTAACATTAGGGGCCCATTGAATTGGAATGGCATTTGGGGTTTAGGGTTTTAGGGTTTAGGGTTTAGGGGTTTAGGGTTTAGGGTTTTAGGGTTTAGGGTTTAGGGTTTAGGGGTTTAGGGTCAAGTACCGTGACCAAGGTTGTGAGGACATAGCGTCTACATTTAAAAAAAAAACTGGGACTTGCTTCTTGCGACTCTCACAGATCTTTGGTCCTGTCCGCGCTATTTACCCGAGACGGGACGCGCACATTTAGGTTAAGCCTTCACTTTTCCAAGCCACCACGCAGTGCTGTTACTGGCTGGCTGATGAGGAACTTGAAGTAAGTTACCATTGTAAGGAAACCATGTTTTTTTACTATATACCCTAAAACCCTAAACCCTATAGAACCCCAGCATAGTATAGTAGTTTCTATTTTCTTTTCCATTATCCCAAAATATCATTCCATGTTTTGGTATCTCATCTCACTTCCCTACCCCCCTGACAGTGTCGGACAGGAACCCAGGTTGATAAACATCAGTTTTGGGTTTAGGGCTTAATTAGGGTTTATAAGATTTAAGGTTTTGTGTTTAAGGTTTAGGGTTTGGGATTTAGGGTTTGGGGCTTATGGTTTAAGGTATTCTCGGCCCAGCGCGCTGCTGATATTACCTGGCCTCATGGATGTCCTTCCTGTTTGCCAGGTTCCGTCCTACATAGTTACAGGGTTTCGGGGTTTAGTGTTATCCTCAAAAAAAAAGAACTTACGCTAAGGGTCCAAGGACCCAAATGATAGGGATTTAGGGCCCAAATACCATCAATATTACGGTATTTGAGCCCTAAAGCCCTATTATTTGGGTCCCTGGACCCTTAGGGTTACGTTGCCAGGTAAAGGTTCAAGGTTCAAAGTTAAGCGTTAAATAGCGAAGCTCCCGTAGAGGTAGAATGATGGCCTTTTGGGCTGTATTTAGGGGTTTTGGGCTGTTATTTTACACACTTTTCGGGTCCAGGTAGGGTTTAGGGGCAGGGTTGGAGGAAGAGAGTGGCTGCCAAAGCAGATCTTTCCAGCTCTAAGCCATCGTCTTTAAGGAAGAAGCGTCCCAATACCCTTTACTTCAGACTGAGCCCAAGGCTTGGAACCCTTTATGCAGTCAAGGTTTAGGGTTTAGCGTTTAGGGTTCAGGGTATCCAAAGCCCTCAGGCATCAGTAAATTCATGATCCCACCTTCGAACGCAAGGGGCACACTGGATCCTTCTCTACCTGGAAGGACAGGGGTAGGGCCTGCTATGCATGTTTGAGCTAACAGCTGCAGATCAGACAAGGAACATGCGTGCTCTAACAATACAGTCCCCCCTTCAAGAACAAGTGGTCTAGCGTTTAGGGTTTAGGAAGTACCACTACAGACCATACAGAGGTATATAACCCTATTATAACAGATACCCCCAACCTTAAACCCAAAAGAGTAGAACCACCAACATCCACCGCCAAAATCCAGACCCCTGAGGGCGCCAAATCCGGGGAGTTGAACCACTCAGGCCCTAGTTTTGGAGTACACCCCAGCAAAAAGTAGAGACTTTTTAGGTCAAAGTTGTTATAATAAGAACCCAGGAACCAATTAAAGTGTAGTACTCCAATATTGGGTAGGGTTTCCTGTGCCCCAAAAGTAAGTAACATCATAG